GATTGGATGTGGGGAAGAAAGGTGAGGTCCGAGTCAAGGATGACACCTAGGACCTTGGCAAGAGGGGAGGTTTGGATAGTTGTGTTATCAACCTCAACTGAAATGTTGGGGGAAGGTGCACGGGCAGGAGGAAATATCATGAGCTCAGTTTTTGAAAGATTGAGTTTTAAGAAATGTTGTGACATCCAGACTGATATGTCATTTAGTAGATTAGTGACACCCAAGGACACTGAGGGGGAGAGTTGTGGAGTGGAAAGATAAATTTGAGTGTCATCGGCATAGAGATGGTATTGGAAGCCATGTGAGGTTATTAGTTGACCAAGGGAGGAGGTGTAGATGGAGAAGAGAAGGGGTCCAAGGACAGAGCCTTGGGGGACCCCTACAGAAAGAGGAAGAGGAGGGGAAGAGTTAGAATTGTAGGTGACACTGAAGGAGCGCATAGATAAGTAGGAGGAGAACCATGAGAGAGCAGAGTCTTGTAAATAAAGGCATACCATTATATTTGTGAATTACAATAATAAAGTGGCATTTACAGTTTCTGTATTATTCTAGTTGTGTAAAGTATAGTGTTTTGGGGAAACAGAAAGAAAGAACTATAGGACATGGTGTAGTTTAAATTGTGACATGGGAAAAAAGAAAAATATCAGTCTTGCTATCACTGCAAAAATCTTTCCTACTAAAGCTAAGACATGCTGACATAAAATGTAATTGAGCTGTTCGGAGTTATGCTTGTAGCTCTTAATTTGTAAATCCATTAAACATGGTAATCTATGGAAGAAACACTGCATATCAAATAAATACATCACCCCCTCCCTTCCCCTCCTGATACAGAGGGAGAGGCACAGCCATAGTGCAATTTATATACATTTACAGTGTCTGGCTCGTTAGGAGCTTACTTGCTAGAGGCAGCCAGTAGCTATCAATAAAATGTTGATAGTAATGTTAAATGAAGCTATTCTGGTCATTTTATAATGAAGTGGAGGGAAGTGCATGGCCATTAACTGGGATCTGCCTCATTCAAGTGATTGAGTACCTATTGCAGCTGCTCCAAAATTGATGAGATGGCGTCCATTTTCGGAAGTGACAATCAGAGGAGGTGCAATGGCAGGGCAGAGCAGATCGAGGTACAGGGTATTATGCAGACTGTAAAAACAGATTAAAAAAGGTACTGTTAAAGGTGTTATACATCCAAAATATAAAAACACAACCTATGGATTGTTAAGGGGGTGGTGTTGTTATGGTTTACAGAGTTTGCCACTTAATCCCACAAGGTTTATAACTTGTTAACCTTGGTGCAGACAACACCACATAAATACACCAATTACTAAAAGAAAAATAAATTTTGATTCCATAGTGAATGCACACTCAGAGCTCATTCACACCAAGGAGGTTGAGGATCAGCGCGGTTACCACGCTCACTTCAAAAAGGGAGGTTTTGGGAGTTTTTAATTGCGTTTCAGCACTGAAACGCAATTAAAAATGCTCAAAACTGCGCTGATCAGTGCAGCAAATGCGCTGATCAGTGCTGCGATTCCATTGAAAGCTGTATGGAATCAGTGCAGCAAAAATAGTGCAGGGAGCAGTTTGGGCGTGGGGTGGTTCGGATTGCACGGACCCGCACGGTCGCATGAACGGTCCCCATAGCAATGTATGGGATCGTTCATGTCGGCGGATCTGCACGGCCAAATCCACGCTGCCGAACTGCCCCGGTGTGAACTGAAGCCAAAACTTTTTTTTTCGTGTTGGATTGGGTGTTGAGGGATTAGAACACCTGTCAAGTTTTTATTGTTGTCTGTATCCCCCGGAAAGGAGATTCACCCTCTCCATTTGTCCCGGTGACAATTATCACTAAAAGTGAAAGAAAATTCCATATTTTGGGTGGTCATCAGAATAGGAATAAATGTTAAACCTTCCAATGGGGGCATTAGTTCTGGTGACCCTGCTGACCACCAGGGACGTCTCTCTCCCTTTGGTGGGATATCTCTCACTTCCTGTTGTGGCTCTTGGCAGAAAGTGTGGGGAATCTCCCCTTGGACACAGATGGCAAAAAAGCTGATGGGGTTATGACCCTCCCCTACTCTATCAAAAACTAAAACATAAATTGGGCTTCTGTTCTACTTTAAAGTCTCCATCAGATGTCATGTGACAGGGTAATAATGCCAGAGCAAAATAAGGAGACAGGCACAGAACATTAAGTACTTATCCTTGTTGCACTCCTTACCAAAAGTCCCTTGTGATGGGGTGGGGGGGTGCTCGCAGTGACTGGGGATGGCGCCACAAATATCAGAAAACTGTAGAAATTTTACCAGCACACCAATCCTTTTACAAAGCAAAAGCTTCATTTATTGAAGTTCCTTGTCACATGAACAAGTGCTTTCGGGGCAACACAGGATCCCTTCATCAGGTCAATACTAAAGCTTGATGAAGGGACCCTGTGTGGCCCCGAAAGCGCTTGTTCATGTGACAAGGAACTTTAATAAATGAAGCATTTGCTATTCTAAAAAGGCACGGAACATTGTCGCCCCTTTAAGTGATTTTGGAAATTGCATTAACATGTTAGAATTATCTAAACTCTGGAAGATGTGGCCAAAAAAAGGCAAGAAGAGGGCAAAGCACTAATCACCAGTATTGCCTATGTTTACGCTGCAGCCGATCTTTCCACATTACTGACATGCCATGCCTTGCCAATGCTATTTTTGGTCATGCCATGCCTTGCCAATGCTATTTTTGGTCATGCCATGTCTTGGCAATGCCATCTTTTTAGAGGCTGGGCTTTGCTTCTTTATGTAAGGTCCTCCAAGGATAACAGTGAGCAGCATACTGCAGGTATCACCAGATCTCACTCCAAATCTCATGAAACTGGCAGTCAGAGGCAGCAGTACCTTAGATTTCATATTGCTGATATACAGCTATTGGGCTTTTGGCACAGGAGTGCCTAGGCTCCCTTACATTCCAGGAAGTTCACTGTTATTTTTTTGGAATTCAAGACAAAAAGGAAGATTTTCAGGCTACAATTACCTTTTTAAAATCATTACTCTTTGAGTCCAGTTCCACTTAAAAGCTTTTATAAGATTTTAGTGATTTGGTTTACATCTACTTTATCATGTAACTCAATCTGGTCCAATGCTGTAGAAATATGCATAAAAACTAGACAAAATCAATGTGTCTTTGTTGCCCAGTTTAAGTGTGCAGCTGCAGATGTCAACCAATATTTATAATTTTTTTGACTAGTCAAAGTAGATCTAAGAATAAAGTGACAGACACTAGAGGCCAAATTCACAAGTCATGCACATACCTGAAGTTAGGGCTTTCATTTCCTTTCTGTTTACTGATGTCACAGCTGGCAACGCAGCAAGGTATAACATATTTGTCAAACTTGCCCATAAACCTTTTGTAGATGGACAGTCTTGCAGCTGTGTATTCATCAGAACTGCAAACAACATCAACAGCAAAAGAAGGTCAGGAGCCATAGATTAATCTTATTTGCAATTCTGCATAGTCAAACTTTTCAGGGGGCATTACTCATAATTATCAAAGCTTAGCAGCCCAACAGCTCAGCTTGTTACTGCTCACAGAAATCGATCAGCATGTTGAAAAATATAAGTATAAGTATATCTAAAGCCAGAACTAACTTAAAGGAGATCTATGGGGTCAGTGCTTTTCCCCATAGTTCTCCCCATGGTCACGGGAGGACACAAACTAGCGTCCTCCCGTGTCCCAAAGCTCAGTATACCACGAGCTACAGCTGAAACCGCCGCAGCCAGGACGGATCCTGACATTACTGTCGAGATCCACCCAGCTGCGTGATTGACAGCTGGCTCTGCCTATCTAGAGGCAGAGCCAGCTGTACCCGCCCCCGTCTGTTCCGCCGGTCAGCTGGAGGATCGGACAGGGGAGGGGGGGAATCCCCCCTCCCCTGCAAGTGTTCTTTGTCATACAGCAACTTGGTGGCATTCTGCACACTCTGTGTACTGAACTCCTACAGATATTTCGCCAAAAGTCTGCATGACCTACAAGTCAAATTACACAAATCCCCTGCAACAGGGGCTAGTTTTAGACTAGCTAATTCTAAGACTCAACCAGTGGAAAAGGGACCCAGATAGTGCCCCCTTTCTTATTACAATACTAAGGCTGATGAGGTGGTAATATTGAAGGCAGGCCCTCCTACTACCAGTCAGTTGGCTTTGTAAAACAAACACTAGCATTTTTTTAAGTAAGGAGAAGTCTAATCGGCAATTAGGTTTGCTAGACTGACTACTTTGTATATAGCTGACCAGGAAGTGAATGTTTCTTTTCAACAAAACTTTAAAGCGGAACTAGACCAACCAATTCACATATCTCAAAAAACAGTTACTTTCAAGGCATGCCAACTGTCATGGTTGCCAGTGTGCTTATTTCAGCTCTCAACCAAACTTCCAAGCCCTCAAATGGCTGGTGTCATAGCTAATCCATAGCTAATCACATGTGCAGCACCATAGCATCTGCAATCCAAATAGAAAGATGGCACCTTCCTAGGCTGTAAAGGATAGTACGGTTTCGTTTTACAAAATTAGCATAAGTGGCCTATGTTACTGAACGGATTGTGGAATATGAACTGGCATAACTTCAGAGAAATACTACGGAACATGTAAGCTGATGAGTAGGTACTACACAGATGACTATATTTAAAGTTAACTTTTTGTTTTAGATGTTGTTCTCTTCAATCTAAGATGAACAGTACTTAGCAATAAAAATGTATTAAGCACCAGCAAAAAAAAAAGATGCTAAATTTTATAGTGTTAGTTGTGTTACACATGGAATAGGATACACAGACTGCTGTGTGCTTACTCTTCTTTTATATCTTCTATCTTGGGGAGCTCTGGGGTAGGATTGTCTGCCGGTTTGGGAGATTTTTGAACTGGTTTAGGAGATGCAAGCTGTTTTTGCTTGTCCTTCTTTGAAGATGCTTTTCTCTTCTCTTTCTTGCACTGCAACAGTGAAGATAGAATATATATTAGAATATCTCACATGTAGTTACAAGTTTCTATCACATAGACTATAGGGTCAAAAAAGAAAAAGCTGCAGTTATAATGGCATTACTACATATCCTGTCCTTGATTCTGTCAATGTTCCCCAGCTTTGATACTGCATTATAATGATGTTTAATCCTCTAGTTATTTCTCTACTCACAGCTCTGAACTTCAAGGAAAAGTATTGCATTTTTGCTATATAATATGTATGTAGTCTGTCCTTGATTCTGTAAATGTTTCCCAGCTGTATGACTGCATTATCATGATGTCTAATCCTTTAGCTATTTCTCTTTGACTCAAGCATGAAC